AGTAGGAACTTAATAACCTTGTTGAATGGGTGAAGCGCTGAGTAGGAGTCTTCTGTGACAGAGACTTACTGCAGCGAGCCTTGACTAGAGTCGGCCACCAGTCCACCCTGGGCTTCCTTGTCTCCAGGGGAGGGGTCAGCTCTCCCCGCCAGCCTGTCAGTGCTGTGAACTGATGTGAATCCAGCCCCCGCTTCACTGAGCCCCGCCGCTACCGAGTCCTCCTCCTCCAGACGCGGAAGGGTTTTGGCGAGGCTGGTGTGGAGGGGACGGCGCTGCGACATGTCCCTCTTGTGGCCGCTGTAGGCAACGCGTCACAAATCCCTTCCGACTTTCAACGCAGCCTTTCGGTGGGTGGCTCTGAAGACGTCCGCCCAGATTTCGTTTGGGTTTGAGGTAGGGTTTGGGCATCAGTATTTTTTTAAAGCTACCCAGGCAACTCTATTATTGATATCACCTTGGAAATACTGGCAGGCGTGGGCCCATACAGCTGTCTTCTCTGGGGGACGGTGGCTCCTGACTCTGGTGACTGGGGGGCACAGACCTAACCCTTGCCCGCATCCCAGGAAAGGGACAGACAGCTTCACAGCTCATCAAACCCAATCAGCCACCCTCAGTGTTTCTTTTTTTTTTTTTTTTAAGATTTTATTTATTTAGTTGACAGAGACAGCGAGAGAGGGAACACAAGCAGGGGGAGTGGGAGAGGGAGAAGCCGGCTTCCCGCCGAGCAGGGAGCCCGATGCGGGGCTCGATCCCAGGACCCCGGGATCATGACCTGAGCCGAAGGCAGACGCTTAACGACTGAGCCACCCAGGCGCCCCCACCTCAGTGTTTCATAGCTGCAGAAGCACAAAGCTGTGGAACGTGTCTTGCCATATTGCTATGTTATGAATCTTCCAGGTAGCACAAGACAAAAGGGCAAATTCCTTGATGGACTGTCCGAATTTTATTCATTTCCAGGAGGTAGAAACAAAAACTCAGGAAGAGACGTAACTTACTGTCATCAGTGGTTCTTCAGCCCGCCTGTGCACCGTTCACCAATCGCATGGGTTTGTAGGAGCAGAGTTAAGTGTACTCAGGAGGCTTGGGACTACACCCAGTTGCATTTTGGAGCCCAGACCCTTAAAACCGAGAATGGTCTGTTCCTCTTGAGTTCTCTAGAATTCAGAATATGCTCAGTCAAAAGAAAACATTAGAAAAGAAACATGGGGAAACTGGACTCTAAAGTATCAGTTTCATTTTTTAGGCCTGAGGAAAAGGAAAGCTCCAGCCCCACCAGCAGTGCCCCCAGGGAAGGGTGTGAGCTGAGGCGTGTGCGCTTTCCGACTTGAATCTGGAGCCTGATGGTGCAGAACCTGACATCTAACTGTCATTTGAAGGACAGCCTGAAAGTCCACAAGACACAGCCATCCTCCTCAGTGAGGTCTTGAGCCTCGGTCAGGGAATTTTGAAGAGAGAGCTTCTTCTTTCCCCCTTTCTTTCCTTCCTTCCATCGGGTAGAATTCGGCCACAGAAAAAAACCCAAGTGTTGAGAACTGACGTGCTAGAACACTCTGAGTTGTAGTAAGGGACTGAGTGCTCATAACCCCAAGGTTTACAAATCCTTGATAGTAGCTTCCTCAGTTTTTGAGAACAGACAGCTAATGAGCCTACATTTATATGAGGGTGGTGTAGTGGACTTTTTTGGTTTTTGTTTTTTTCTTTTTTGCCTGCTCAGTGTTGAATCTCACTTGCTTGTGTTTGCAGAATTCCCTAACTTGTAAGAGGCAGAACTCACCAACCACTGTGAAAGTGGAACATGTCAGATATTCACTTCCCAGCCTCCCTTGGAGGCAGAACATGGTTGCATGACCTAACACTGGCCCCTCAGTCCCAGACTCTGAATTAGAAACTAGAACGGAAGAGATGAAGGGACGCTGGAGAGATCACTTTGGTGCAGACAACACGCCAGCAACGTTGACTTTCCAAGTCCAGCGGAGGCAGGGAGGGGGTGGAGGAGTCGGGGTCTAGCTCCAGGAGGACAAGAGCAGTGCCCCAGGTGCCCAGCATCCCTGCGCTGGAAAGTCGGTACCCTTGTTATACGGTCAGGAGATGGCTGGTGGTTCCTGAACCAGTGTTCACCAAGGTCTTCCAAGAACCTATTTAACCAACCGAACTAAGAGCTTAAACTGAAGCAGGCCTGCCTGAGAGCAGAGAATAGGAAGAAAATAGGACTTTGCTAGAAGAGGCTCTTTCTGTCTGCAGCCTGCAATTTAAGTTATTCAGCATGCAATTATTTGAAGCTGTTGGGTTACAATATGTTAATTTTCTACATCAGGATACATTTAGTGTGAGAAGGGGAGTGCAGGTGCCTGGTAAAGACCCAGATGTCATGAGGCCATGGATGTGAACGGGTTCAGGACACAGCGAGAGCATCTTAGCTGAGGATCCACAGGCGTTGCTCAATGGAGTAAACAGAGAAGTAGGGATTTAAAGATCTTTTTGAGAAGTGAAAGATCAGCCTGGGACAAGTTCTGATTACGCCGAGTTCCTCTGTAACGGCGCCACCAAACACCTGTCATGTTTCTTTAAACCTAATGCCATCTGCACGGAATACTTTTAAGTATTCTTATACTTAAACATTACATATGTAAGTATATATATGTTATATAATATTAAACTTAAATATTCTATAATTTTTTGAGAATCTCAGGTGATTTTCCTTCCATTATTCAAAGCTCAGAGACTTCACAGTCATGTTGTCAGTTTATTGACCCTTCAGCTTCTCGGTTTTGCAAATAAAATACTATTAGCTTCTTTCAGAGAATAATCTCAGAGTGTTCTACATATAACAAGGAGTTCACCCTTCACTGCCCGTCCAGAGAGAGAAAGTGAGGCGCAGAGCCTCGATCAGGTCTGGGTGGATCGGGGTCAGCTCCCAGGACCAAGCACAGGCAGCCGAGACGTAAGACATTGCAGACGTCAGCTGTCTGAGAGAGGTACTAGATGTCGCAGCTTCCTGCCTTCAGCTCTTATTGTCCGGTCCCAGCACGGAGCAAGACAACTGGAGGTCTGGGCCCCCTGGACCCACATTACTCGTTCCATCTGCTATGCCACAAAGCTGGAAAGCTGTATCTCTAGTTCTCTCTTCCAGGCCTGGGCTCTGGGGAGCAGGCTGAGTGCTCAGAAAGCCTCAGTCCCTTGTCCATCCCACAGGTGGCTGTGGAAGAAGCATCCCCAGGGAGTTGATCTGAGAAGAGTACAGATGTGCAGAGTGTCACGGGAGCTTGGGACATGGAGTCAAGTTCAGTGTTTATTCCTTCAGGAAGTCCCTTCACTGAGTCTGTGGTGTCAGCTCTCTGGAAGTGTCACACTGGCATAGACTGTGATGGAATTTGGTTCCTGGGGACAAAACAGAAGTCTGTGAGCAGAGGCACCAGCTTCACAGGCTACAAATGGAAAGCACGCTGCTTAGTAAAAGGAAAGAGTCTCAGGTATCAGGTGGCGCAGTGACTTACTGGGAGCGGAACCTCAGGGCTCCAGCTCCCTTCCAGGTGTGTGCACCCCATCACCATTGGGGAGACCCAGAAGATGTCTCTCTTTGCTCTCTGCCCTGACCTTGCCTTATAAGGAAAACCATTTGCTTTGCTGTTGGGCACAGGGCAGAGTTGGAGAAACCCAGAGAATTCTGACGGAGCTTTAGAAAGGGATAGTGAGACCCAAAGAGAGAAGGAAAAATTGGAGCAGAGACGGGAGAGGAAAGACAGGACTGCAGGCGAAGATGTTTTCTAGGTAGAGTAGATTCAAGAGTCAGAGAAAGACAGGAATGGAGGAATTCAGGAAGTTTTGCTGTAAAATGTGAAATACAACAGACTGTTTTTGATGAAGAAAACATCACTAAAAATCTACATTATTTCTTAAAGCTTTTTAAAATCAGAGTCATGTATTTACTTCCCCCATTGAATAGGACAGTGTTCTGAGAATAGACCTCTGGATGCAGACAGGGCATCCTCCCAGGCATCTCCGGGTGTGAGTCCAGTAAGAGCTTTGAGGCAGAGGAGTCAACGTAGGCATTTCTGTGGCCTTTTGTTCCTCAATTATCTCCTAAAATGCTTTATTTAATAGAACGCCACTAGGGCCAAGATTTCAGCCCAGAATTTATTTCTGTCCATTTAGGAAAAGAAATAATTCCTATCGAGTAAACTTGATCCATGCTGGTCTTGCAGTGGGGGTAGATAGTGAGGCTTAGTCTGGGCTGCACACCATATTCTCTTCCGGGCTCATGCCAGGCACAGCTCCAGTCCTAGACATTCTGATGAAACTGGGCTGGATGGAGCCCCCGCATGAGCCTTTTTACAAAGTTGTCCTGTGATTCTGTGATGCAGCTGGACTCAGGAGCTCTTAGACTCGAGATGCAAATCCCAAATGTAAACATGCTCTGGGGAGGCTGTTTTTTTAATGGATAAATGTCTGGTTGCTCACCATGAACTTTCTGATTGAACAGAATCCTAGGAGAAAGCTCCAGGAATCTTTATTTTTAGCAAATATGCCAGCAGATTCTGATGTGGTTTTTGGACAGCTCTCGGAGAAACACTAGTGAACAGAGAGAGAGCTGTCCCATGTGAGCAGCCAGGAGGGGTCCCCCGGAAGTCCCGCAGCCAAGACCATGGAGGATCCTTGAGACCCGCTTTCTAGGGCTTGCCTTCTCCACTTCAGGACTGTTTTATTTCGGCTCTACCCAGGTCCCACCATCCCTTCCCTGAAGAGAAGAGGCTCAGAGAGATGCCTCACCTGGACAGGCTCTGGGACAGGTTCTGTGGCAGCAACGTAAATGGTGGTGCAGGGGTCCTGAGCTGGCAGGGGATCAGGTTTCTTCTGAACAGACTACGAGAGAAGCAAAGAAAGAGGAAATCAGCTGAGCAGAGTTGTTTCCATCTGATTCTCCCCATGGAGAAGCACAAGATCCAGAAGCTTGGAGCCAGAGAGCCCCTCAGAGTCAACTGGTCCAGCCTCCTTCCCAGGTGGAAATGCTCCTGCAAATTCCCCAGAATTCAATTCTCAGGGCTTTGCCTGGACTCCCCCAGTGGCATCGTGGAGCTCACAGCCTCGAGAGGCAGCCCACTGCACCATGAGCCCTTCCCAAATGTTGTACGTCTTCCTGCTGGTGAACCAGCACTGCTGGGGCTGGCCCCGGTGCAGTTGAAGGGAATGGGATCTTCATAACATTTGTCTCACTCCTGTCCTCGAGTTCATCCCATCCCACCCCGCTGCTCCTGCTGTTCCTGACTCTGACAGGGTTTCCTGTGACTTCTCTTTCCTGTGCAAGTACTGAACTTAATAATATAATAAGCATAATAATAAGCATACATACAATGTTTTCCACAAGTGCCCATTTGTCTCACATCAACTCTGCATGTTAAATCCCGTTGTTATATTTCACAGAAGGAGAAGCTAAGGCTCAGAAAGACTTCATACTTTCCTATGTGCATTTAATCATTGTCCACATTATTAGTCTTTATATGATATATCAAAGCTAAGGGTCCCACGAGGCCTCTCAGCTTAAAGTGGATGCTCTTCCCAGCATGCTGCTCTTCTTTGCTTACGCCAACTTATAATGACCTAAATACCCCAGATATTTAAAGTCTAATTTATACATGATGGCACTTAACTGTGCGATATTTAAAGCACTCCGATACATTTACATGTTGTTTTTATGTATTTTATGTATTTTATGTATTTTATGTTGTATTTTATGTTTTATGTTTTTATTCCTATATTTCTTCACATTCCCCACAAAAATAGTACTGGGCACATTTTTTAAAAATCCATTGATGTTACTTTAAATGACTTACAATCCATAATACCAGGATGAAGTCAATGTAGGGGTAAATTGAGACCACATCCCCATTAAATGGAGGTAACAAGACTTATGCCAGGGAAGTCATTCTTTCAACACACTTCAGGGACACCAGTGTAGGATATTGCTACTCCCCACTTCTCCTGGATGTAGAGCAAGACTAGAAACTAAACATGGGTTTTAACTTGAGAAGCTCAGAATCTTGTCCTCTGATGGAAAAGGTAAGGAATTAAAAACGTTTACTAGAGGAAAGAAGATTCAAGGCGGGACATGATCTTTCTCTTTATATATTTGATGGATTGTCATGTAGAAAAAGAATTAGATTTGTCCTGTAGAGTGCTTCGGGTTTAAACCAAGATTGGAATTTGGAGATTCAATATAGTGAAGATCTTTCTAATATTAAGAGATGCTCAAATGTGGAATGGATTGCCTTGGGAGGCAGGGAATTCGCCATTACTGGAAGTGCCTGGGGTAGACCAGGGCTTCTCATACTTGAATGTACATATGCATTATGTGGGTGTCTTGTTAGAAAGCTGGTTCTATTTCAGAAGACTTGGGGTAAGCCCTGAGGTTCTGCATTTCTAAAAATGTCCCAGGTGATACTGATGCTGCTTATTCACAGACTGTATTTTAGCAAAAAGGAGCTAGCCAGCACTTTGGAAGTAATAATGAGAAGATAACTCAAGCAGTAACTGGGTGATTCAAATAGATGACTTTCAAGATCCCATACAACTCACAGATGCTATATTTCGGAGAAAAAATGAATTTAAGAAGAATTACTTGCAATAAGGAGATAGATGAAGAGAATGTGAAACAATTTAAGAGACCTTCATCCCTGCCTGTCTTCCTGTCTGTGAAGACTTTGGTATGACCTGACTTAGAGGCACAGGGGAGAAGTTAGTAACTTAAGCTTTTCATGTTTAGTGAAGAAGTTTGGCAAAGGAGGAAAAAAGTATAAGGGAAACCACCTATACTTACTTCTTCAACACAACATGGTTAGCACATTGTTATTTTTCCCTTCAGGATTTTAACCTGGATTTAGGGAATTCTCTTAAACATAGTTGTAATAACTTAGTACATTTTTGTATCCCTGTGTCTTCAGTTAGGGCATGAGTCCAGGGAGCGTGATTTACAGAAACTCCAGGGGTGTCATTCTCACATATTTTTCATGAGCAGTGTTTCCCAGAGTTGTACAATGTAGCAGTCCTGAGAAGACCTAGGAGAGTTCCCTAGCAGACAGCAAATGTGTGTTACATAATTTTCCCTGTTACCCTAGTCTTTATAATGGTATCATATCATTGTTACAAATAAGAACAAAGAAAATATTAACATTTAATCATTGTCTACGTTATTAGTCTTTATATGATATCATATAGCATTGCAACTATGAACAAAGAAAATTGTAAAAACATAGGTAAGTGCAAATGCATATTGATGTATAAAACAATAACAATTATGTCTCCTATGTTTAAAACATACATGAAATTAAAATAATGGCCCAAAAAAGGCACATAAATCAGAAGGTGAAGTTAGAGGGAAGATGAAGTTTTGTCCAGGAAGAGAATAAACACTAGACTTTGGTGAGTCAAGGATGCATTTTATAATTTCTAGGTTATCAACTAAAAAACAGGAAAAAATTTGCTTAATTATTAAAAGGGAGGAGAATGGTGTAATAAATTATAATTTAAAACCCTCCTACACTGTTGGTGGGAATGCAAGCTGGTGTAGCCACTCTGAAAAACAGTATGGAGGTTCCTCAAAAATTTGAAAATAGAGCTACCATACGATCCAGCAATTGCACTACTGGGTATTTACCACAAAGATACAAATGTAGGGATCCGAAGGGGTATGTGCACCCCAATGTTTATAGTAGCAATGTCCACAATAGCCAAACTATGGAAAGAGCCAAGATGTCCATCGATAGATGAATGGATAAAGAAGAGGTGGTATATATCTACACTGGAATATTATGCAGCCATCAAAAGGAATGAGATCTTGCCATTTGCAACGACGTGGATAGAACTGGAGGGTATTATGCTAAGTGAAATAAGTCAATCAGAGAAACACATGTATCATATGACCTCACTGATATGAGGAATTCTTAATCTCAGGAAACAGAGGGTTGCTGGAGTGGTGGGGGGGTGGGAGGGACGGCGTGGCTGGGTGATAGACATTGCGGAGGGTATGTGCTATGGTGAGCACTGTGAATTGTGCAAGACTGTTGAATCACAGATATGTACCTCTGAAACAAATAATACATTATATGTTAAAAAAAAAAAAAGAAAGAAGAAGATAACAGAAAGGAAAGAATGAAGGAGGGGAAACTGGAGGGGGAGACGAACCATAAGAGACTATGGACTCTGAGAAACAAACTGAGGGTTCTAGAGGGGAGGGGGCGGGGGGATGGGTTAGCCTGGTGATGGGTATTAAAGAGGGCACATTCTGCATGGAGCACTGGCTGTTATACGCAAACAATGAATCATGGAACACTACATCAAAAACTAACGATGTAATATATGGTGATTAACATAACATAATAAAAATAAATAAGTGAATAAAAATATAACAGCTTCAAAAAAATTATAATTTAAAAGATTCATCCCTCAGAGGAACCCCTGACTCAGATAACTTTACCCGTGAGTCCTACCAAATATTTAAGGGAAAAATAACATCAATCCTGCCCAGAGGAAATGTACCCTGTAGTGGGTTGAACTGTGACCCCCAAAAGATGGGTCCATCCAGAATCTCTAAATGTGACCTTATTTGGAAGAGGATCTTTGCAGATGTACTTAAGGTAAGGATTTTAAACTCAGGTCAAGCTGGATTAAATCCAGTGATGAGTGTCCTTTTACTGTTAAAAGGAAAGGAGAAGACCCAGAGATAGAGAGAGAAGAAATGTATGCAGAGGTGGAGGCAGAAATTGGAGTTCTGTAGCTACAAGCCAACTAAATGTCAAAGAGTGCCCGGAGCCACCAGAAGCTGGAAGAGGTAAGGCAACATTTTCAGAAAGAGCAGGGCCTGCCCACACTTCCATCTTGAACTTCTGGCCTCCACAGCTGTTAGAGGATGACTTTGTAGCTTTAAGTCTCCATGTCTGCAAACATTTGTTACAGTAGCACTAGGAAATGAACATGCACTCTTACTCATCTTGTGAGATTAGCATAATCTTGGTATCAAAACCTCCATTACAAGAGAGGAGAAATGCAGGCCAATTCCACTCAGAAGCCTAAACAGGACAGCAACAGCATCCTCTGAACAAAATATTAATAAAATAAAACCCAGCGATATTTGAAAAGGACCAGACTACATCGCCTCTATTCCAGGAATGCAAATGCAGTGTAGTCTGTGCAGATCAGTGTGGTTCAGCAGATAAATAAAAAAGATAATATAAAAAAATCCATATCAATAGATGCAGAGAGAGTGTTGATAAAATTCAATGCCGATTCCTTAGCAAACCAGGAACAGAAGAGAATGTTCTCAATCAGATGAAAAGGCAGCTATAAAAACCTTCAGCAAAAACCATATTTAATGGCCAGATGTTGAAAGTTTCCCTTTTGAGTTTGGAACCATCCAAGGACGCCTCTTTTAACACTTCCATTCAACACTGGATAGGAAATCTCAGCCAGTAAAACAGGAAGAGAAGTTATGTGGTTTGAAAATGAAGAAATATAGTGTAATTTTTTTTACAGATGGTACAATTTTGTACAGAGAAAATCCAAGTCACCTGTAGAAAAATGACTAGAATTTATAAGTGAGTTTAGCAATGTTGCAAATATAAGTTTAAAATACAAAAATTAATTGTATTTCTAGGTATCTATAATATATAGAAACTAAAAAATTTTTAAAAGATAATGTTGATGATAGTATTCCAAAATCTCAAATGCTCAAATGCCAAGTAATAAATTATGATGGACAAGTGTCTTATGCAAAACACTATAAAACATTGTTTAGAGAAATTAAAGAAGGCCTACATGAAGGAAAGGATGTATTATTTTGTGAATGGAAGGACTCAATACTGTAAGTATGTATGGTCTCCTCAAAGTGATCAGTGCAGTTCTGATTAAAGTTCCAGCAGGATTTTTAGGTGGAACTTGACAAACTGAAGGTAAAATATATATGAAAATACAAATGACCAAAAATGGCCAAGAACTCTTGAAGAAGAACAAAAACAAATAAGAAGACATTTTACCAGATATCAGACTTGTCATGAATCTGTAATCTATAACGAATTTGTAAAGATTGTATGCTACTGGCACAAGCCTAAACAAACAGGAAAGGGAGCAGGATAGAGAACCAAAACAATGGATCCTCACATATACGGACTCTTGGTTTGTGATTAAGATGGCACTAACAGGGGCAAGGGCCATCTTTTCAATATGTGGTCGATAGGACATCCATTTGGAGAAAAATGAAACCTGACCCATCTCACACCTTACTCCAAAAGGCATTTTCAGGTACATAACAGATATAAATGTGAAAGATAAACCACACAGCTTTTAGAAAATGATAGAATATCTTCATTACCCACGAGTAGAGAAAGATTTCTCAAACAGGACACAAAAATCGTTATCTACAAAGGAAGAGATTACTGAATTGCTCTATACTGCAGTTAAGAACCTTTCTTTATCAGGTGTCACTGAGAAATTGCAAAGGCGAAACACAGAATGGGTGAAGGTATTTGCTAAAATGTAACTGCCAAAAAAATTTTTTTAATTAAAAAATAAAATAAAATGTAACTGCCAAAAAGCTAAAAACATTTAAAGAACTTATGCTAATCGTTTAAAAAAAGCCTGAAATTCTAAGGAAAATGGACAAGAGATTTAACAGGCACTTTAAAGAGAGAGGATATTAATATGACCAATAAATATAAGAAGCATTGTCCAATTTCCTTAATAATTAGGGGAATGCAAAATAAAACTATAAAAAGACACGTCCAACAGAATGACTAAAATTAAAAAGGCTGATAACACCTAGTTTTGATTAGAATGTGTAGCTGGCCTGAAAGTAAATTGATGCACTCAGTTTGAAAAGCAGTTTGGCCTTATCTAGTGAATTTGAAGATATGCATACTGTATGATTCAGCAATTCTACTTCTAGGTACATACCCAACAAAAATAGGGTGCACATATCTACCAAGAGATACACATGTGGATGTTCATAGTTGGAATTTTTATAATAGTTTCAAACTGGAAATAACCCAAGTGTCCATCAATAGTCAGCTAGATAAATGAACTCTTGTATATTCATGCAGTGATGTTCTATAAAGCAATGAAAATAAATGCATTATATCCAAGCACAAAGACATATGAATCTCATGAAAGTAATACTGAGGGGAAAAAACCAGACCCAAGAGGAAAAATACTGTAGAATCCCATTTTTATAAAGTTAAAGAGAGAGAGAGAGAGAGAGAGAGAGAGAGAGAGAGAGAGAGAGAGAACGCTAAAATATATTTTTAGAAGTCAGGACAGTGATATCTTTGGTGAGGAGAGAGAGAATAGAGATGAAGGAGGGGGTACAGGAGGTCTTGTGGGGGTTGCTGGCAATGTTCTGTTCCTTGATCTGGCTGGTAGCTATATGGTATTAGAGGACTCAATACTGAAAGATGTAATTTCTCCTCAAATAGATCTGTAGATTCAATGCAATCCTAATAGGATTTTCTCCCCTTTTCTGATACTTGAGAAGCTGATTCTGAAATATATACAAAAGTACGAAGGGACAAGACTAGTTGAAAACTGTTGGAGAAAAACAAGGTGGGAAGATTCGCTTTACTAGATAACACGATAGGGTAATTCATTGAGCTGACATTTATACTTTGTGCACTTCTGGTATATATGTCCTGGTTTACAGTAAAAAGAACAGCATCAGACAGAGTAGATAGGGAAGGCACCATGCTAAAGTTGAAACTGGTTACCAAATGTGTAAATGCAAGGGTGGAGTTTACTCTTGGGACTCTCCTATATTTAAACGGAGCCTGGTTCTCAGCGGTAGTGATGGCCTATGTATTAAACCCTCCAAGCCACTAGAGGGCAGCAGAAATAAGAGCTTTGTCCTAGAGTCCTCTGAATGGCCAGATTCTGGTCTGTACATCACCTAGAATTGCCTTCATGTCTGAAGAACTAGAGTGTCTACCCATCTAACCATATTCCTTTAGCCTCCCTCTTACGCCTAACATACCTGCTCCTCAACTTCACCGTGGCTCTCCCTCAGTCCAACTGCCTTCCGTCAGGTCTTTCATCTCCAGCCTACATATCACCTTCCATCTACCCAGCCAAAATCCTCAAGATCCTCCTTCCCTGTCTCCTGGTGCTTTGCAAACTCCTACACTTGGATCAGACCAGCACATCATACAACAGCCTTACTGCACCTTCCTTCTGACCTCAAGCCTGCACCCTTGTCCCTAGAGAGGGTTTGGTAACAGGGAACCACAGACACTCGGAACGCCAGGGCTGGAGGAGTCGTGTGTCATGTGTTTCTTGCTTCCTCATTTTTCCCTAAGAAGACATGGATGACCAGAAGAGTACCCAGTGTTTTCCATTATTTCAAATAACAAATAGTCCCATCTGACACTGAAGTTTAATGCCTTTTGCAAGATGGACTGGCCAGGAATCCCACGGGGAAGCAGGCCCACCCCAGACAAAGAAAATAGAGAACTTACACCTGATTTCTGGACTTGGGCATAAATAGTAAGGCTTTTTGCTTCCATTGTTGGCTGGTAATGATTTGCTTTACCTGGGGAAAAGAAACCACAGTGGTTATCTCTGTCTGGCATGCCCACAAACTCTCCTCAGACCTGTCTGGTCTTTACCCCCCCACCACCTCCCCACCTGCCCCAGGAGTCCCAAAGGCACAAACACCAAGTCCCAACACATGTGTCACATGACCTTAGGTTAGTTACTCCATCTCTCTAATTCTATTTCTCTATCTGTGAAATGGGACTGAAGTATCTGCACCCCCAGGGTTGTTGTGATGATCACAGGAGATATTATTTGTAAAGTGTTTAGAACAGTGCCTGGCACGTAGTAAATTCCCAGTATGTGTTCCATGCAATTGGAATGCCGTTCAATTATTTTAATCTCTATTGTTTAATGTGCATATCTAGTCTCCTAATAAGATTCTAAGTTCTCCAAGGACGGGGCTCATTACTCTTTTGTACCCTCCCGCTTGTTGTACGTTGCTTCACTCAGCTTCTCATCCCTCTGTTTCTGGGGCACTTGAAGGCCTCATACCATAACTGTAAAATGACTGTGTAATGTCCTTTCCTACTGTGTCCTGAAGCACGAAATTGTCCTTTGTTAGCAGGACTTCATGTACTTAAATTGGCTCTAAGGACTATTCCCAGATGCTCCTTGTGCCACCCCCTGCTGGCCATAGGACTTAAACATTGATGTGTTAATTCAACTCCATTAAAAGATTTGTCTATGTGTGTAAGTATCCATCCATCCATCCATCTATCCATCCATCATGCACCTGTCCATGATCCATCGTCTAAGCATGGACGCCACTGTATTTGGTACTTTCTGTGTATGGACTCATGGATCCCCACAACAATACCATGTGGTACATAATATCATCCCCATTTTGCAGAAGAGAGTTCATTTATTTAGTCACATAGCTCGTCAGTGGCAAAGTCTTCATTTGAATGTAAGTTTGTCTGATGCCAAACCCTATGTTTTTAACCACTGTATTCTGGATATGAAATTGCCAGAGGAACCATTTGAACACCTTCAGAGCCAGGCAGCATTTTGGAGGTGACAGCATTAGAAAGTGCTAACAGAATCAAAACAAAGTCTTGCAAAGGGTACAGGAATTAATGTAGGTTTTCCCGTAAGTTTGAGGCCAAGATTTCATGTTCCTGGCTTACAAGGAGTACAGGGTGGCTGGAAACAAGGATGGATATGTGTGCTGAGGAGGGTGACAGGGACTTGTGGGGAGATGGGGGGCATTACTCCCTTCAGAGCGCAAACATGCGGTGAGCAGAATGTGGTTGAGGAAAGAATGTGAGTTAGGACCCTGGCACCCACTCCGGCTAGGTTAGCATGGCTGCGTTAATCTCCGTTTTCTCCGTCCTGGTATCTCAACGTTTCCTTCCTATCCGGCCAATTGTGGGTGCCCTGCCCCATCGCCTTAGGCTCTCATCACAGTTTCTGTCTGAATCACCCTACCCTCACCACTCCCCATCTAACTCTTAGCTGGAGGAAATGAGATAAAAGTAGGTGGATGTGCTGTGATCTAGACTTTCTTATACAAGCAAACCCAGCAAGAGTGCTGTGGTAAGAGCTTTTTTGAGAAGCTTACACGTGAGAACGCTGATCTACTTGAGAATAAGATCAGCCATCGACTTGGTGGTGTGAGGGTCAAGTCCTGTCCTCACCGTGGGAAGGCCAGCCCAGGGGCCTATCCTGGTCTGGGGGCAGGACCTCTGACTTCGGTGGGGGTGGGTGATGAAAGTGTGGCCGAGCACATGTCCCTGTGACGTGGAACAGGGGACCCTTTGGAGGGGAGGCCAGGAGACACATCCCCCAGGCGTTTAAACTGCCAGGGAATAACTGGGCCTTAATAACTACCCTGGTTGATCTTCTATACTGTTTAGTTAGGCCTTAAGCAACCTCACAAATTGTACAGTTTCCCAAGATGAGTCAGAATTTGTGTAAAAATCTTAGTAAAAAGCGTTCCCTCTGCTGTGGGTCTTCCCAGTGGCACGTGGCCTGGTTGTTGGGAGACGTACAGTTCTGGTTCTCTCATTAGCTGGGCGGGTGAACTTGCACAAGTCACACAGCTTCTCTGTGCCTCTGTTACCCCACTGCTAAGTCACGAAGAGACAACTAACTTACTATTCTCGGAGGGAAACTGCAAGAATAAAAAGAGGTTTTAGAAAAGTTTCAACCCTTGGATGAAAACATCTTATTATAATGCCCCTTTTTTTTGGTCCGTAATTATAACTTTTCTTGAACAAGATCCAAGAGTCCCCTGGATTCTGTGTCTAGTGAACGTTGTCAAGTCTCTTGTCTGGACGCCTTCAGCATCCTGTACCTTCCTCCCCAGCAGTGCTAGTCATATTGAACATGAACGATCTCTGTCGTGTCTCCCACGTTCAACCTCTGTGGCTCATCCCTCTTTCCATCCCCATGGCCTAATTAGGGATCAAGACATACTGAATTAGACTGAATTGAGCAAGGTCCCAGGATATGTGTATTTAGTGTTACTGCAAAGGTGCTTCAGGCAGAAAGCCAGAGTGGTGCAAGCAGATCTGCCTGTGCGGAGAGGTTCCCTGCTTACCACAGAGTCTGATATGAATCTCTTTATTGGCAGACACCTACCTCTTCTTCTCAACAGCAGTATTACCACTTCGAGAATCAAGATGACACCAACGATGCCCCCTAAGAACAGCCCAGCATACAGTCCCCATTGTGTTGATTCTGAAAAAAAAAAAAAAAGTCAAAGGGCAATCTCAACAGTACTGTAAGTTTAAAAACATCCTTCACGGAAGTGGGGAGCCCAAGCCCCGTGCTCTCTGTCTATATTCTCTCTCAGGGGACACATCCATTCTAATGGTTTCAGACAGCAGTTGCAGACCACTAACGATTTCCTACCTCTTCTCTTATCCTAATTCCTCTCACCATATTTGACTTTCTTAATTTCCTATGGAAATGTCCTAACTCCTGTAGCAGTTTTTCTATTCAAATGCTTGATTTGCACCTGCATGACCACGTATCCAAAATCAGACTCATCTTTGTCTGTCCCAAGTCCACATCGCTTGCCCATTTCCCTGGTTTTAAGTCTCTGAGGAGTCCTGCAACCACTTTGGTAAAGAGAACATGCCGGTTCCACCTGCTGTCCCCACACTCTCACACCACGCTCATGTGACACTGGGAGGAAGAACGACCGACTTTTGTTCTTTAAAAATAAACATAATAGTACTATTATTGTCCTCCCATGCAAATAACTCTATTGAACCCACTGAACCTGAACTGAAAGAAAAGCATGTGTGTTTTCCTCTCAGGGATTCCAGTGCTTAATACAAGTCCTAGAGTAGCAGTCAGCCAGGCTCAAGGTCATAGAGCTACTTTTTTTCTTCTTCTTTTTTTTTTTTTGCTTTCTCTCCTGTACGCACTTCGCCAAATCCTTCCAAGCCAGGAGCAGTACCTTGAAAAACAGTGAATGAGACCTAATGCCCCAGCAAACAAGACATCCAGCTTACTCAGATAATAACAGACAACTATGGAGCATTGTCAATGGGCCAGGCTTTATTTTTAGTGCATTGTGTGTACTAATGGATTTAATCCTCACAACAATCCTACAAGGTAGTGACTCTCATTACTCTCATTTCGTGCATAAGGAAGCAGGCACGGAGACCTTCATATACTAGAGCTTGGTCTAGGGGTGGAAACGTGGCTGAATGCTGAAGACAGACTTCTTGGAGAGTCAGAGAGACTCATGGTAATAGCATTAAGGCTCTAAACACAGTTGACACTTGCACGGCAGCAGCCAAGCCCCATCGTGTTCCATCAGCCCATGGAACTGACCCAGCAGATTGTTACAGTTGTTCTGACTGTTTTGAGACTCTTTCCTCTTCCTTCATCCCTCACCTAGGTTGGGACCTTCTAAAACAGCAGTTCATTTAAGAACAAAGACTCCAACCATTTCAATCCTTTTAAAAGGTACTATTTCTCTCAAATTTCCTTTGAGATACAAATAAAGTAAAACCAACCAACAAGGGGTTGCCTCTGAACCACAACGTAGCAGATAACAAAATTGCACTGGGAACACCTGCCAAGCAAGCCTTTCCCCTGTCGCCTGGTGCATGCTGCTGATGCTCTGTGGCTCACCTTCTCACATGAACTAAAAAGGACTGCGCCCCAGCCTTCTCTGGCTTTTCCAGGGAGTCAGGAGGATGAAAGCCATCTGCTATCCTTGTCCTATAACATAAATGTTCAGCATCTGCTTGTCTCCCGCCAGATCTGAGAGGCCTTTGTCCTGAGAGATCTTTCATAAGCCCTAATTTTTCTCTTAATTTGAATCTGTTCGAGGACTTAAGTGATAGGTCCACAGAGGCTTTTAATTGTTAAAGGGAGCTATTGCACTATCTTACCCAACTCACTAATTTTATGTTGAGGACCCTGAGATTCAGAGGTGTCCCCAGAGTCACAGAGAAGCCGATGGCAGAGCTGGGCAGGATGAAGACTTGATATTTTGTGTTTTCCCCTACGGCGATGGGCCCCCCACAAGGAAAGCCCTGGGAGGTGCCCATACCGTCAACATCCTCCCTCCAACACCTGCCCATTCTTGTCCCCTGTGCTGTGCCCCCCCTTCAACCTTCAGCTGCCCACCAGGCCTGCCCAATGCTGGCCCCAGGCCAATTCTACCCTCTCTGTGTCAGCTTCCCTGACCATTCCAGCTCCCATTCTTCCTTCTCCCTGGGACTCTGCAGCACCTTGGTTTTCGTCATGTGTCTTAGAACCTGAGTTGTGACACTACCGTTGCGGTGCAGACCATTTTCAGCGAGGTCATTTGGAACCAGATAGGTGGATTCAGATTCTGGACCTACCACTTGATAGCTCTGCGACCTCAGATAGATTGCTCATAACCTCTGGGGCCTCAGTCCCCTTGATTGTAAAATGAGTACAACAATATTTAGTTCACAGAGTCTTTCTAACAAGCCAAGGAAATAATTATGGGAAGTGCCCAGAGCAATGCCTGGAGCATAAATGTGGTGCAGAAATGTCAACTCCTTCCACTAGCCTCAAATCCCCGACCTAGCTGCTAGCCTCTCAGAGGCCAGAGGCCACCTCTTTACCTCTTTTGTGGCTGTCTTAGGACTTGACACACAGTAGGTCCTATTGATTGATTGGAAAGACAGAAGATAGGTTTGATCTCACATCCAGAGAAGTCCCTTCACTGGTGTTCAGAGACACTCCAGCCCCATCCTATTGTTTGCCTATGACTTGGTTTCCCTATCTAGCAGGTCCAAGTGGTCTTGCACTTGGTGCTCATCTATTTGGCACTATTATCTAGTGATTTGAATGTTTATATGGAAACTGAATGTCAGAAACTCTATGCCCTTAGCAATTTGGATAAACATGGACAAAATGCTACTTTTATGGCTTGTTGGGGTCAGGCTGCAGGGGATTCCTGCAATTTCTGGTAATTACTTCCTGGTGGTCCTCCAAGTCTTTGCTCTTGTGGCTCTGCTTGCTGCAGTCGGGGCTATCCTGCGTGCAAGGCTCTGTGCTTTCATCAGTTTCCACACAAAAAATGCCCAAAACCTACACCAAGAATTTTGTGGATATGAATCCTCTACTGAAGAGCTGAAAGGTCACAGGGAGCAGAGTCCATTGTAAACCGGGCAGCTTTACACCATCTGACAGGCTCAGACCCTCTTCTTCTCTTCCTATATCTGCACAAGCCATATCTGTCCCCTTTCTCATACAGAATCATATAACCCACAGCTGGATTCCTTGGGGTGGGTCTTACCTTCTGCCCTCTAACATTTACATGAAGGTACCCTGTTCCTTATGAGAAGAATTCTAGTAGAGGTTTCTTAAGATGATAATATTTTCCTACCTAGTAAGGTCCCACCTAGATTGTAAATTCCAGAAGGTAGACCCTGTTCCTTGTGCTTTATTTGCACTGCCTCCCACCTGATACAACGTAGGGTTAGGGGGGCACTTAATAAGCGCATGATGAAGGAAGGTAGATTAAATTAGAAGCCATAAAACAAAGCTGGGGGGGAGGACTGTCCTGTATCCTTTGGTTAAGAATGATCACAGCGCTGAATATCAGAAGGTCTCAGAAGGAATGCAGGGTTACTTACTTTTGAATGGCTCAAAGCAGCAATCGATGGGAATGAGTGATGACCTACTTAGCATATGCTTCACAATAATGAGATGGAACCAGAAAAAGAGGGAGTGCCTGTGCCCTCAGCACCACCTGTGTTCCCATTTTCAAACCACCGTTTCCTGTGACAGAAGACTCCAGTTCTCCATCTTCTTCCTCAGTGAGGACTCTCAGATCGGTGCTTCTCAGCAATCAGAGCAATGTTGTTCGTTCATTCGCAAAGAAACCGAATCTGAATATTCCCGTACAGGAAAGTTGGGGCCTTTCCCCTCTGGAGCCTCTTAGAAGCAGCCAAGGAGGCCGGTTGAGAACTCCAGCACCACTCCTCTACCCTACTGGCTGTGATTTAAACCGTGACAACTTGGCAAGTAGGCATGCCTCCAAGGAGAATGCTGGAGGACCTTTTTTATCTTGAAAAGTTGGCTGCCACAGAAACACAAAAGCTTCTCACCTCCTTCAAGTCCCCAAAACTTATTCTTTAAGGAGATAAAGAAGTAAACAAAAGAGACTCTGAGAAACAAATATAGTTTGCCCCCAGGAGATCCAAGACGCTAACATAACGGTCTGAGAATGCTAGATCTCTTTCCTGCCTTTCATGTGGTTCTGTCAGCAAGCAGTCTGCAAGGCACACAACTACTTGAAGAAGCCAGCCATCTTAAAAAAAAAAAAACAAAACAAAAAAAAACCACCTTCTTGCTGATGGTGGCTTCCACTCAGAATTGAGGGTGGGGGAAGGATGCTCACACAAACCATGCACTAATTTGAGATCTGGGACCATCCAAGTACACATTTTTACAGAGTTCACAGTTTCCAGAAAAACCCCTTACATTGCCTGTCCCAACCAGCATTGTGGGTCAGAGGCTGGCAGCTGTGCCCACAGTTTGCCCCCACGCTTCCATGGCAGCACAAACCTCGTCCAGTCACATGGCTGTCCAGCTTGGGCTTACCCATCTCAGCTTCCCTTGCAGCAGCTGTGGCCATGAAACAAGGCCCATGAGAGGTACCAGGTTCCATCCTTCTACCACTATTGTCATGCTTACTTGACTGGGAGTACCATGAAGAGGGACTTGCCTCTGTGCATGGAACGTCTAGATGACTCTGTAGCAGTGGGTGCTCCCATTATTAGAAAGTCCTTGTCAGAGAGGGGGAGCCCCTGGGGCTCACTGGTAGGTGTCATTTGTTTCTTCCTCTGAGCTAACCCAGACTTGCTGAGCCAACTTTCTGCTAATCTACTGAAAAGGGTCCTCTTTTCAAGATGAGCTTCCAGGGGCATTCCCTTTTAGCTGAATTACTTAAGGTTTTGTATTATTCATTCTAGCATAGATACAACTATTTCAGAAGATGGTCATGAAGAACAACAGCAGGTCATACACGATTGACCCACATGAACATGCTTTGCATGACTCCCCAAGAGTGCTCTGTAAGCAAACTAAGACTTGGACTTTGCAATAAAGATGCTTCATAGCAAGAGACATTAAAATGTCTCTTACTGTAAAGTAATGATGTGGCAATTGGAAAAAGGATGAATATATATGACTGAGAGCCTGGACAAATGTCATTAGAAAACTGGCATGGTGAAGAGACCTTTAATAAACTCTCAGACCCCACCACTTCATCCCAAGACTGGAAAGTCCCTTGTATGAAGTCTTCATTAAACTAATGGTCACTGCTTTGGTCCAGGCCTTGTCATCTCTTGATGGATCACTGCAATGGTAGCTCTTCCCCACAACTAGTTTCTCTTTCTGCTGCCTCTGCCCTGCCCCCACCTCTTCTCCACACCACTGAATTTTCTCTCTGCAACGCAAAGGTGATCATGTTACTCCTCTACCTAAAAGCTTTATTACTTCCCATTGCCTATAGGATAATACCAGACAAGACCCAGGTGCCTCTGCTTTTCCTTCTGCCTGGAATGTCTTTCTTTTATCTGCCTGGATAATTTCTGTTTATTCTTCAAAATCCAGTTTATGTCACATCCTCTATGATGCTCTCTCTGATTCCTCCAGATGGTGTCCATCATCACTTCCTCTTTTTACCTCCATTCTGCCCATCACACCACACAATCTAGGATAAGTTATTTACAGAAACTATCTTCTTCCTTAAGGGCAAAAATCATGGCTTTTTTCGTCTTTGTGTACTCAGCACCGAGCACAGTGTTGGAACATAGTAGAAGCTCAATAAAAGTTTTGGCAAACTAAGCACAGTATTTTAAAGAATTAATAATATTCATTTGCAAACACAAATCAATAAACTAATAAAACTCTGCTTTCTGTCTTTAGGCAACCTGGTGGACTAGGAATGGCACGCCACAGACCAGCTATGTAATCTTTGATGTGCTGTTGTCCCTCATCCTTAGAGGAAGGGAGGAGGGATCTCTATTTGTTTTTTGTTGTTGTTGTTGTTTTTAAAGATTTTATTTATTTATTTGAGGGAGAGAGAGAGAGTGAGAGAGCACGAGAGGGAGAAGCAGACTCCCTGCTGAGCAGGGAGCCCGACGCGGGACCCGAACCCCGGGACTCCGGGATCATGACCTGAGCTGAAGGCAGTCACTTAACCAACTGAGCCACCCAGGCACCAGAGGGATCTCTATTTGTGTTATGATTGAATTGTGTTTCCCCCCCAAAATTCATATGTTGAAGTCCTTAGAACATGGCCTTATTTGGAAACTGGGTCTTTATAGAGGTAATCAAGTTAAATTGAGGTCATCAGGGTGGCACTATGAGCTGCATTGTATCCCTCCCAAATTCTTAAGTTGAAGCCCTAACGCTTAGTACCTCAGAATGTGAATGTATTTGAAGATAGGATCTTAAAATACGTGATTAAGTTAAAATTAAGCCATTAGAGGAAGCCCTAATCAATCTTACTAGTGTCCCTATAAGAAGAGGAAATCTGGACACAAAAAGAGGCACCAGGATGTGCATTCACAGGGGAAAGACCCTATAGAGACACAGCAAGAAGGTAGCCTTCTGCAAGCCAAGGAGAGAGGCCTCAGAAAGAAAAACCAGCCCTGCCAACACTTGATCTTGGCCTTCTAACCTCCAGAATTGTGAGAAAATAAATTTCTGTTATTCAAGCACCCAGTGTGTGGTATTCTGTTATGGCAGCCCTAGTTACAGGGGGGGGGCTTAATCCAATATGATCAGTGTCCTTATAAGAAGGGGGAATTTGAGCAGAGATATGCTTCAAGGGGAGACAGTGTGAACAGACAGAAGAAGACAGCCACCTGCCAGCCACAGAGAGGGACCTCCACAGACCCCTCTGTCACAGCCTCAGAAGGAACCAGCCCTGCCAACACCTTGATTTTGGACTTCTAACCTCCAGAACTGTGAGACAATAAGTTTGGGTTGTTTCAGCCACCCCATCTCTGGTACTTTGTTACAGCAGCCTCAGCAGACTAATACTTGTTGTAACCTTTTGTTAGCACTTCTTATGAATGTACGTGCAAACTGAATCATAGAATATGGACTCTGGACAGAACTTCACTAGGTCACCCTTTTCATTTTACAGATGATGGAACAGGGGCCCAAGACAGTGAAAAGACTGCCTCATGTCAGGTGGTTCTCCTAACAGCTGAGTTGAGATCCTCACAGGGCTTTCTCACGATGCCATGTTTCTGTTGTTCATGTTCCTTCACCCCTCAATAGAGCCTGTTCCATACTCAGTAAAGCTGGTCATATTGTGCATACTTGGTCCTTAATGTAGCCTAGGCAAGTGGGAGCATCTGCACCTGTTTCTTTAGAATGTCCTGAGCCAAGTGCCCCTACCTAAGCTTCATGAACTATCAAGGCTTTGGGATGCACTAATTCAATTCTTCTTAAGTCACACTGAGAAGCATGAAGAGAGTTCTTCCTTTTTTGAGATGGGCCAGGGTAAAACACTTGGTGTCCTGTCTTTGCTCTAAGAGGGTTGCTATAACCACAGAAGCTTGTGCCCCCAAGAAAAAACCCCGCGATTTTTGTGCATTATCTCTTCCACTAATTCCTGTGAGGATTCCAGGATCAGACAGCTCAGCTGTTACTTGCTCTGCGTGTGAGCTTTTGATATCTTTCTTTCCTCATCTATAAAGTGGGAATACTAATATTGTTTGGTGGCTGTGAAGATTAAATGAGATTCCACCTAAGTGGCACACAATAAACAATTAAGGTCTGTCAGTTGTTATTATTTTAGATAAAGCATCTAAGTCTTAGGTGAAGTGACCTTATCCTTGTAAGTAAACAGAACAGCATTGGGTCGAGGGTCCCTGGGGCCACCTTCTGTAAACTCTATAAAGCCTCCTGCACAGACACCAAGTCTACTGCGGGCTGAAGTCTCCTTGGAATGACTCCTGTTCCCTGTGGTGGATGCAGGAAGGAGAATGTCATGACATAGGTAATTCTTTGAAGGCAAAACCCAGGTCCTTCTGTCCCCATGCACCCCTGAGGCATGGACACACGATCTGTTATTGAAAAGGCTCAGTGGTCTGTCTTTCCTGCTTCCGACCTCAAACAACTACTTAATCAGCCAGCCCTCCCTTCCTCCGACAGCAGAATAATGAGGCTCTTCTTCCTGGAGACTGAGCAGTCGGAAGGTATGAGTGCAGGTGCTGATTCTGCTGTTTATCATTTGAAGAAACTCGAGCAGGGTACTTAAATGCTACGACCTTCAAGTTCCTCATCTGTACAATGAAGACGATGATACCACGTATCTGGTAAGGTTATTGTGAGGATCAGAAGAGATCATACCACTGAAAGTGCTCTGCCAATAACAAAGTACTACATGATTTATTATTATTCCCAAACAGTCCAGGTCTCAGTCTGAGAGCTGACTCCCCTGGCCTTTGACTTGCTATGAGATTCACAGTCCATTCGATAAAATGTGGCCCTTCATTACATCCTGCTGTTCATTATTGAGCAAATATTTCATGTCTTATCTTTACAACATGTTGCTGGAGTGCAGAGATCATGTATCATATCCATGCCCAATTTTCTGTGCATAGGTGGTCAACTGTACTTATTGATGGTACAGACCTGACCCACCATTAGTGGAGTATGGACTGGGGAGTCGGGACCTGCCACCTTCATTCTCTCACCCAGCTGCCCTTGCAGCTTGGAGCCAAGACAGGAGGGGAGAGGAAGAGTCACAACTGGGAGGCCTGCACTCTGGGTCTGGCCCCATCATTTCTTATTGTTGTCCTCAAGTATGAACCGAGCATAATGTCAACCCGGTGATGATGAGCTGAGGCAATTCACTGAATGCATATGAGGAGGCTTTTCTCAACTATAGAGAAAATGGAAAGTGTTATTACCAAGGTGGAGGCCACGGCTATGGGAGCAGAGCATTTACTCCAGGTGAGGACTGAGCCCATATCATCAATGTGCCACGCCCACCCCCACCAGGGCACTCACCTAAAGATTCTGGCCTGCACTTGGACTGCGGGGTGAAGGTCTGTGAGCGGCTGCTGATGGGGTTGCTCGCGGTGCAGAAGTAGACATTGTTGACATTCTGAGGGCCAAGGCGAAGGTGCAGGAGGTGAGAACCGTTGGCTGGGATCAGTGGGTCGGTGGCCATTTCCTCACTCCAGCTGTAAACCACATAGTCCCCCTTCTCCACTTCGCAGGCCAGGGTCAAGCTGCAGTTCCCATTCTCCTGCGTCCAGTTCAACACCTTAATTTCCGGAGTGGAGACCTGCTCTGTCAGGAGGGGGAGGAAGGAAGCCATCACTGAACCCCCTGAGATTCTAACGTGACCTTCTTGTTAGAAGAAAATGCAGCCTAATGGTAGTTTTCCCTCCCTGTGGGTCTGCAGTGTGATTTATTTCTAGTGGGGATCTGCTGGTTCCCCCAAATCCCTCTCTCTCCACTATACTCCTTTCCAGTACGACCTCAGCACAAAATAGGGAAAAATCATTTGTCTTTTAGTTCCCTCCTACCACTACTGTTAGGAATCTGCTTGCTCTTGCTGATGCTCCCAATCTGAGTTGCTCTTCTGTTTTCTACCTGTGGTGTTTTCTGCCAACTAATCCTGCATGGTCTAATTGTCACTGGCTAAAGTATTACCTCTAGACATGAAAGAATGACATAGTGGTGGGGTGTTACCTGGAGTGTGTGCGTGGGTGGATGGGTGGGCGTCTGTGAGTGTGTGTCTGTGTGTCTATGTGTCCGTGTGTGTATGTGTCCGTGTCTGTGTCTGTGTGTGTCTGTGTCGGGCAGTGGGGCAGGGGTGGGGATCTCACTCTAATGCTGTGAAATGGCCAAGGCAAGGGGGCAGGTTGTATTTATTGAGCAACTACTGTAGGATGGGCATGATTCTGGAATTTTACATCTGTCATAGTCTTTAATCTTCTCGACAACTTTCTCAACAATTATAACCTTAGTTATAAGTATTCCCATTTTACAGATGAGGAAACTGAGTCCCAGAGAGGTGGAGTGTCTCACATAATATCACTCAAGCTGAGATCAGAACCTAAGGCTGTCTGACTCTGAAACCCAGCCTCTTTCTTTCATGGTTGCAGAAACTGTTATCTTCCAAGGTAAGAATTTATGTGACAAGATGTGACAAAAGCAGTGAACTATTCTAGAAAATGCATGATGTGTCATCCCTAGGCCACTATTGGAGTAGTCAGAGCTCTCCGGTACCTGGCAGAGGGCTGAGGGGAGCCTGCATACACTATGTGGAGGAAGGGGAATGCTGGGTAGGTGGGGCTCTCTGTCCCATCTCAAAGACAAGAAAGTCTCTCTATGAGAAAGCAGGACAACCTGCATGGCTGTTGTCAGGATTCCTGGAAATTCAAAGAGCCTCCGGGCCAAAGAGACACAAACTCTGCGTGCATTCAAGAGGGGCTGGCAGTTAAAGAGGCTCAAAAAAGCACTGGCCTTGGTTTCAGATGGACCTATGTTCTAGTTCAAGTTCTGCAGCTGAGCGGCTTTATAACCAGAGCCTCTGTTTCAATGAGAAAAAGTGCTTTTCCCCCAGGTAGATGCGGTCCTGTGCCAGAGCACAGGGCATGTGAGTGGTGCATGGGCTGATTCAGGGAACCACCCACGAGGACTTGTATAAGCACAAGCCAACCACTTCTCCCTGGATTTCAATGTCCTCATCGATGGAAAAGAGGTTGGGCTCGATCTATGGTATTCAAACATTTTAAAAATTGAGGGAAAAAACCTTTTTTTCAAACCAAGTCTTATTTGCTAATTGAGACTCTTGGGACCACAGGCCCTATAGTCCATAGGCAACTGGGTTCCTTTTCTTTGGGAAATGGGGGTAGGGCTAACTAGTGCTAATCAACTACCATCAGTGAGCAATTTGGACAAAAAGAGTTTTGTGAATCTCTAAAACCTCTTCCTAGAGCACAGTTTAAACACCCTAGACTAGGTGACCTTTCAAGTTGCTCCCAATCCTGGATACTCTTGCTTCTGAGAGACGCCTAAATCCTTAGGTAAAGGATGATCTCGGGTGCCCCCCACCCTGGCCCGTGCAGACTGGGGAAGCCCCATTATTACCATAGAGCTTCAGCTGCAGACAGAAGTGTCGAACTGAAAAGTTCTCCTCCAGGGTCATGAAGTACCAGCCCTCATTTTCCTTTCTGCTTTCCAGGATCCCCAGGCTCAGGTTTTCCAGATGAAATGTATAGCCATTTTCCAGATAGCGTGGAGAACCCCCTTCTGGAAGATCCAGAGACGCTATTTTCTTCTTGACACTGTTTCTCGGTGACTCTGCTCTGGTGACGAGGATGTGGATGCTCTTGTTCATGCTCTTACTTACCCCTTCAGATGCCAGGGACAGCAGTAAACTGCTTCCCAACCGCCCAGGGATCTCTGGGCAATTCATCAAGCTCTCACCTGTGTGAGGAAGAATAAGAAAGTCCCTTTTTGTAGGGGCCTTTGAGAATCACATCCTGTCTGTGGATCAGGAATGACAGATGGAAGGTGCTCCCTCTTCCTCTTGCACTATCCCTGGGGTTGCCAGGTCCTTAGTATCCTATAAGAATGGTCATGACAGTCCCACTATATTCTCAATGTTTCAAAAATCCCAATGTAAATCTTAAAATTACTTACAAAGGAGATGTACAGACTAACTAGGACACTGGGTTTCTTTGATCTGGGAGATAATCCTGTCAACTCAGATTTATAGTTAAGGCACAGAGAAGTTAAATGACATCCCTAAAGTCACACAACCAACAACGGGTCTAGAAGCCAGGTCTGCTAATTCCTTGACCAGACTTCTCACCACCCCTGGGTACATAGTATGAAGGGCAGAGAGCAACTGAAGCTGATTCTGATCTCGTGAGCCCAGGAGACCAAGGCTACAGAGCATCATTTCAGATAATGAAGAAAGAGAAAAGTCTGAGGGATGTAGAGCTAGGAGAGTGGTGAGCCCAGTGTTCAAACTGTGGAATTCTTGCTCTCGAAAAGACCATAAGATAGTTTCTAATATCAAGGGTAAGAAATTACTTTATTTCTCTTTTTCAAAAGAGCTGAGCCAACAACAACAAAAAAAAACAAAAAACAAACCCAAAACAACAACAACAACAAAAACCACACCCTTTCAAATCACTGTAAGAGATCCTACTGCTGACTATTTAACACCTCCTCTCTCCTCAAACCCATGGCCTCTGCTGATGACTCTGCTTCTCATTGCACTGAAAACGTAGAAGAAATAAGAAGAGAACTTCCATTTGAAACTACCACCAAGAAACCTACCTACCCAGATGGATGGTCTATGCTCCCATTAAGGTTAGCCTCTTCCATCATGGAACACTCACCCACCTCAAGCCTTTGCTCTTGCAATAGCCCCCACCCCTTGCACCATCAGCTTTGTTACTGGTATAGAATGTTATGGGTTATTTCCACCAACACACAGCATACCAACCCGTTTCCCTCATCTTACAAACCCCTCCCCTGACCCCAGGTTCATCCCTGGCTGCTGCCTCATTTCTCTCTTTTCCTTTATTGCAAAGTCCTTTAATGTGTGTTTGTATTTTCTGTTTCTGTTTCCTGACTCATTTTTCCTGTACCTACTCTTAGCAGTTGCTCTTCCCTACTACTCACTGGAACCACTCTCATCAAGGTCACTGTATGTGCCGTGGTGCTGAATCCATTCTCCATCCTCATCTTGCTTTCTCAGGAGCCCTTGATATTGTTCATCAGTCCCTCTTTGAAACACTGCCTTCATCCAATCCCTAGAACCCCACTCTCCTGGTTTCCTTCCCATTTCACTGGCTTCTCCTTCTCGGTCTCCTTGACTGGAAACTGCTGCTCTTAGAGACCTCTAAATATTGGATCATCCCGGGATTCAGTACTCAGACCTCGTCCCTCCCAGCCATGCTCATCCAGCTGCATGGGTTGACAGACCTCTGGAACGCTTACAGAGATAGATCTCCCACCCAAACTGCCTACATGGATCAGTATTTGGAGGTCGAAAGGGCATTGCAAACTTAGCAAACAAACTCTTGGCTCCAAAGCCCCTCCCACTGACAACATTGAAACTCCCCCAAATTCTGAGACCAAATGCTTGACTCATTTCCTTCTCTCATACTCCTTACGGAGTCTATCAGCAAATCCTGTTGGCTCTAACTTCAGAACATGTCTGCAATCCAAGCACCTCAAACCTCCCTCATTGCTGCCACCGGAGTCACAGCCTGACATAGCCATTGGCTTCCAACTAATCTCCTGGCATCCGTGCAGTAGACAGAGTCATCTTTTTAAGCCTGTGTCAGATTTTGTCTCTCTCCTGCTTTAAAACTTCCAGGGATTTCTGAAACCCATAGAAAAGATATCCACAGGCTCTGTTATGGCTTCAAAGACTCTGGGTAAACCCGTCCCTGACCCCTCTCCTGCCCTCTCTCTCCACTCACTGCACTATGGTTGTACTGGCTCAAACACCTCATCAAGAACATTCCCTGCTCAGAGCTTTTGCTTCTGCTGTTCTCTAGATATCTTTTTTCTTTATATATCAGGATAGCGCACTCCCTCACTTTATTTTCAAAAAATTATCTCCTCTAGGGGAAGAATGAAGGGGGGGAAATCGGTGGGGGAGATGAGCTATGGGAGACGATGGACTCTGAGAAACAAACTGAGGGTTCTAGAGGGGAGGGGGTGGGGGGATGGGTTAGCCTGGTGATGGGTATTAAAGAGGGCACGTTCTGCGTGGAGCACGGGGTGTTATGTGCAAACAATGAATCATGGAACACTACATCAAAAACTAATGATGTAATGTATGGTGACTAACATAACAATAAAAAATTATCTCCTCTGAGAAACCTGCTCTGACCATCCTATATAAAATAAACACCCCTTCTGACTGCACACTTACCCCTGTCAGATGATACATCGTACATTATTTTATTTTATTTTTGTGTCCCTGGTTAGGATGCAAACTCTTTAAGAGGAAGAATTTCATTCTGTTCGTTGTTTTTTTTTTTTTTAAGATTGTATTTATTTATTTGACAGAGAGAGACACAGCGAGAGAGGGAACACAAGCAGGGGGAGTGGGAGAGGGAGAAGCAGGCCTCCTGCCTAGCAGGGAGCCCGATGCGGGGCTTGATCCCAGGACCCTGGGATCATGACCCGAGCCAAAGGCAGATGCTTAACGACTGAGCCACCCAGGCGCCCCTCTGTTCATTGTTTTGTGTCTAAGACCTACAACAATAGTTAACCCACAAAACATGTATATGGTAGGCGTTTAATAAATACCTGTTCAAAATATGAGTGCTGAAAGCTACATTACCTAACTAAAATCTCTTTCATTTAGCTTTGTCCGTTATGTAACTGAACTTAACCATAAGCTAATTCTCATAAAAGAATGAGCCCATGACTCAGAGAGCATAGATTGCTTTAGTTGATAAGGAAGCCAGAGAAGTAAAACAAAACTGCCGGGTTAAGGAGTGCAGTCACCTAGAAAGGACACCATTGACTTGTGGCTCACATGGGCTGTTGGAGAATTGGACAAACTGGTCCAGATGTTCTTGATACCAAAATGCCCTGAAATCTCAACACGGGCCCATAAAGGGCCCAGCTAGTATCAAGCTAGAGATCCAGAGATTGGGAGAAAACAATAGGCAGTCCACCGGGGCTGAAATTACGGTGAGATTGGTGGAGACTAGAAACGATTAAGGAAAAGTGAGGGGAAGGGAGGATGTAAGACAGAATAGGGAGGAGCCACCACGACCACCAAAGAAATCAATGAAAGAAAATAGGAAGGGAAAGAGAAAAAGAAAAGGAGCAGATGTGAAGGCAGTCTGGGCAGCATCTGCACACTCACGCACGGGGAGTGAGATCAAAAATCGGTTAGGAAGAAACCCTCACACCCTGTAACCCACATGAAGCTTGGTGATCTCACAACCGAGTGTGTGTGAGTGGCTGGCTCTGGAAGGGGTACCAGAAACCAGCACCACCTAAGCACAAATGGAAAAACAAGTGGGGACTTTAAAGTGGTTCACAAAACCCTTCAAGTGGAGTCCCCCCTCCTGAAACATCCTACTGCCTGATGCGTGTTTTCCAGCGGGCTGTGATTCAGTCAGTCCTGTTTACTCAAAGAGTCTGGAGGAAACATTTGTAGCCATTAACACCAACTCACTTTCTTCAAGGGTAATTCTACTTAGAAAGTAGAGTGATTCACATGGACCCATGGATATTTTCCTGAAATGAGCCCCACTTGGCCAACCCTTCACAAGACGGGATTCCCACCTAATGATAACCACTCGCTTTGTTTTGCTGGGTCATAACACGTTCACATGGGCTCACAGCCTCTCGCCATAGCTTTCAGGGAGAGGAGGCGGGCGTCTCTCCAGTCCTCACACTTCTTACAGCAAATCTAGGCCCCGGAAGAGAAGCTGTTCTTTAACCTCCAGTCCCAGGAGCCATCCTCTTCAACCCTGCCCATCCCCCGCCACCCTGTTCCTTGATGCTGCTGGGTCTTTCTGACTCAGAGTACTTGCATTTCCATGCCCCAGCCTGAACACACCAGTTACTGCCCTCTTTTTTCCTGACTAACTCCTTCCATCCTTCCCGTCTCTGCCTCTGACCCCTAGCTTCATCTAGGCCTCCCTCCAGTGCCTTTGTATGTCCCCTTCACATCACTCATCACGCTTTTAACTCTGATTCTATGCCTGTCATCCTTACTCAGGAATAAGCTTCTGAGAGTAGTGACTGTGTCTGTTTTGTCCACTTATAGTCCTAACAGCCACCTGGGACATAGAGGAAACTCAGTAAATCCTTGTTGCTCAAGAGAATGAAAAACTGAATGAGTGAGCAAATGGCTACAGAGTCTAAGTTCCCCCCTTCTCCAAAATCAGAATGTACTCTGTTTCATCTGTAAAACATCCCTAAGAAGTACAGTGTGGGGAGAAATGATGGGGACCCTTCTCCCTGCTTGCCAGCTGAGCAGATGGAAAAGCCTTGGCTATGGACCCTAGGCTTCAAGCTCAGCAGGTCACTTGCCATCCCCCTGAACACTCGCAACACCTCACCTCTGCATTGGTGCCTTCATCTGGAATACTCTCTTCAAGTCTTACAAAAATCCAGTGTATATATTTGGGAAGATACACAAGGAACTGGTGATAGCAGTTGCCTCCAGCAGGGGGGACGGTAGGGGGATTTGTCTCCATTGTATATACCCTTTTGTACTTTTGAGGTTTTAAATAGACATATGTGTGATACTCTTCCAATAAACAAACTAGTTAAAAAAAATTAAATGAAAACTTACATGATGAAAGAAGTTCCTATCCACTTTCCCAATTCCAGATCAAATACTTCCATATGCCCTCTACTTCCTTCTATAATTTTATCAACTTCTCTCACCTTTTGAATACTCCTGCACTTCATTTCAATTCAATTAAAATCAACTTATATGTTCCAATTATAGATAGCATATTCTAATTTTTACCATGGGACCTGGATACAAATTTTAGCATGCCTCCCACTCCCACCGAACATAAGTTTATCCAGGTTCATTTATTGAGGTCTCTGAAGTCAAGCTGTGTGACTACAGAGAAAGTGCTAAGCTTCTCTGTGCCTCTCATTCCTTCTTCTATAAAATTGTGCTGGTAACAATAATAACATATCTCATAGAGTTGGTGTGAGAATTAAATGAATAATATACAGAGCACTTAGGACAGTGCCTGGTATATTGCAAGCAAGCTGTGCATACTATTATTATTCATTCAACAATCATTTGTGGAAGGGCTCTGATGTGCCAGATACTGTGTCAGGTGCTGGGCAGAAGTTGTGGATGTTCATTTTGCTTCCCCCACACCTTGCACAATTCCTGCCACATCACATATCCTTAATAGATAGTTACTCAATGGGATTGTCCAAAGTCAGTCTATGGATAAAACCAATGAGCCCTGATGTTCTGATTTCCAGTCTGGTGCTGGAGATGTGAAGGTGATGGCATTATATTCCCAGTATTAAATCTCTTGAAAAAAAGTATCCCAGTATTAAGTCTTTTGAGAAGTGCTTAGATCTACATCTTGGGATAGAATGGCCCAGTGAACAAAGATGGGTCAAGTCTGGAACCCACACACTTGTCCTTCATGTGTGTGAAGGAGGTGGGGCAGACCCACATGGAGGAATACAAAATCCCCCTGGGGCAACTCATCAGTTGTAAGAGATGCATCCCTCTGGTGGGGGATGCTTATAATAGGGAGGCTATGTATGTGTGGGAGTAGGGGGAAATCTTGGTACCTTCTGCTCACTTTTGCTGTGAACCCAAAATTTCTCCAAAAATAAAGTCTATTTTCAAAAAATACCATTGAGGGAATGGAAAATTCACTTTATTGGTGGAAGGGACATGTGGACTTTTGATTTTACAATTCTGACAGGGAATTGGGAGGCAAGCTGAGTAGAGATGGGAAAGAGGGTGGGTCCTGATTTTACAAGAATCGCACTTCTTGGTTGAGTAACTGTCATGGTTGACCTGTCCCACTTGCAAAGCTTTTCCATCTGTGTTTAATTGGGGTTTCACAAAAGGGTGTGTATTTAAAAATAAAAACACTAAAAATGTGCATATTTCAGAGAAAACAGAATGCAAGGAAGACAGATGCCAAAGGTTGGTCACAAAGCCCCCACGGGGCTGTACTGCTTCTCACTAACAAGGGACCTCCAAACCTCCAGTGGAGCGCTGTCAGCACCTGCTGCCATGGGCACACCATGGGCCAGGCTGGCCAGCAGGCAAGCAAGCACAGAGATTTAAAAAGTCCAGCCCACTGTTCAACCCCATCATTCCTGATAGTCACTGAAAAATATCCCCAAATGGTAGAGTCACAAATGAGGTGCACTGGGAAGTCTTGGCTCTCTCTTTGGTGGCTTAAAGTGGTTCAGTTTGGTTTTCTGAACTCTGAGCTCGATCACCCCTTCCCTAGACCTCAGAAAGCAATAGCTATGGGTCTGTCTGATTTCAAGGGAAACAGGGGGTGGAGAAATGTCCTCTTTATCTGGGAGTCTGGCAAAAGATAGATCCCATGCACAGCCTCTCCGACATCCCTAGTGTATCTCTGGACTTTTCCTGGAAAAGTCCTTAATGGATTTGCGGTCTTGAAAACCCCAAGTGCAAAACACCCAGAGCCTCAGGATTTCCCCCCTTCCCTAATGCTGCTTCCACTCCAGGCTGCCTCCTCTAGTGTAACCGGCCTCCAGGCACTTCAACACTCCTCACTGAGCCCAAAGTCCACTCCTTGTACGGCTTTTTCTTTCTCAAATACTGTTTCTCATAGCACTGATACTACTAACAGAGAACCCCAGCTCGCCTCTGAGAGGAACACAAGCCAGAAACACAAGAGCAGAGCCCAGCCCCAAACCCTGTGTTGTGTGTCTGGCTCTACCGCTAGAGCTGCCCTGACCCTGGAGAGTTCCCAATTTGCATTTCCAGAAATCCTGGCCTCTCCCTATCTCACTGCCTTGGGAGGGTCTCTTCCAGGAAAGTAGCCACCAGTATGACCACACTGTGGCCACTGTCTGTTCTCAGCTGATGCCTGAGGTTTTCACTTCACTTCTACCCTCCCTTCCCCCTACAGCCCTTCCTTGTTGTTGGACCATAGCTCTGGTTTGCTCACATGTGTGAGGATCCCCTTCAAGGGCAGGGATGTAGGAGTCATCTTCTCCCCAAGCTCCATCCGTCCTTCTCAGCCCCTTAGCCTGGGTCTTTGTCAGATGTGAAAACAACCACTCAACCAGAACCTTGACTAGAACGTCCCACCCTGAGAGCCTGCTCTGGAATGTGACCAGTGCCTTTGGCTGAGGGCTCCTGCTTTCCGTGGAAACTAAGATTGGTGGGGCTGAGCCTTGGCATCCAGGAACCCACAATATTCCTTCCCCTTTCAAAGAGTCAGAAGGAACTCTGAGCCAAGCCCTGAGAGAGAGGCAGCCAAACCACAACCCCCAGCCCCTACGACTTCTCTCCATCCATGGGCTCGCTGACTCCTGGCAGGTAATGGCAGGACTCACATCCTCAAACAGATGAACACTCACCTGTTCCACAGCTCAGCTCAAAAGCCAGGGAGAGAAACAGCAGGAAGTTCAAAGAGAGGAGCCCCTTAGGATCCATCAGCCGGTGAAGAGAGGGAAGGGAGCCGCTTGAGGAGCCCAGCAGCTGCTTGCAGATGCCACGACAGAATGAGTGAGGTCCGTGTCAGGCAGAGGTGGCTCTGCCGCCTAGTTATGCATCAGGAACCAGATGGCTTCCTGTATCACTGGGACTTTTTCTGCCTGAGTCTCGAGGATTGCTCATCTCCTTTCAGGCTTTAAATCACTTTGTTGTTCCCAAGAAGTTCGTGTCAAATGCTCAGACTGCTAAAGACGGGAAAGTAGTTCAGCAAACCCAGCCTTGAGCAGAAATTTACCCCCCTCCTACCCACCCCTGCCTTCCCTGGTAGTTCTGTCTGGTAACTCTTCTTAGAGTGCAAAGAAGAGATGGAGTCTTGTTAGACCGTCCCGAAATCTGGGTCAGTTAGTTCAAGGCTGAACTTGGATGACTAAACGTTAAAGAGTTCTTACGTCTCATGTTTGATTTGTTCCACAACTTCACATGCAGTCAGGTCCTGATGCCAAAGCCACAGAGACATGGGGAAGGCAAGGACAGATCAGTTGGCAGAAACCCAATTTCCCAGCTAGGTGCAGTGTGGTAGAATTTAATGAGCTCTGGGTTGTGTTTGGAGGGGGTACCTTTATTTCAGAGCTTGTGTCTAACTTTTTGTGGAGGGGAAGGGACTAAAACTGGCAGAAGAAAGACATATTTTTCCATGAGTTAAGCTATAAAAATGAAAACACTGGAAAGATGCTTTTACCATCTTTTACTTTGAGAGGCTAGACTCTTGTTTTTAAAGTCCATTTTAGGGACGCCTGGGTGGCTCAAATGGTTGAGCATCTGCCTTCAGCTCAGGTCATGATCCCAGGTCATGGGATCGAGTCCCATGTCCGGCTCCCAGCTCAGCAGGGAGTCTGCTTCTCTCTCTCTCTCTCTCCCTCTCCCCCTGCGTGGGCTCTCTGTCTCTCCCTCTCTCAAATGAATAAATAAAAAAATCTTAAAAATAAAAAAGCCCATTTTAACAGATGAGAGACACTCTCCAATGGGCCTTCCTGAGGAAATTAGGGTAACAAGAGCTGGTGATATATGTGAACTTACTCTTTATCTTCACTGCTTTTCTCCCTCTCTCATGTGACACTCAAGCATCCTCCCCACAATACTACCTGGTGGTGTGAGGGAGCCAGCATGTACCAACTAGTGAGAGCCGATTGTTAAGTTTTCAGGAATCTTGTGAGCTGGGTGATTGATAAATATTACCATTATTAAGAATTCAAATTGTATCAATTTACAGTTAAGTAAATTATATTAAAACTAAAGGAATAAAAACTCAAAACTCATTACTTTCTAATTAGTTCACAACATTTTACTGTTATCTATGCTCTTGAGGACATTTACCACTATTGTATCTCTATGGTGGAAATAAAATACCAGATATCATATGGGCTGCTGTACTACCTTCAATGACACCATGTTGGTAGCTTGAAATCAGGCAGGGTGGGAGCCTACTGGCAAATGATAGAACCAGAGCTTTGGTTTTAATGTTTTGTTGAGTTTATAGATGTAAGAAAGTGATAAAGAAAAGATAAAGATTCAGATTACACTTAAAAGTATATCATGACTGGGCACCTGGGTGGCTCAGTCATTAAGCGTCTGCCTTCGGCTCAGGTCATGATCCCAGGGTCCTGGGATCGAGTCCCACATTGGGCTCCCTGCGTGGTGGGAAGCCTACTTCTCCCTCTCCCATGCTCCCTGCTTGTGTTCCCTCTCTCGCTGTCTCTCTCTCTGTTAAAAAATAAATAAAAAATCTTTAAAAAAAAAAAAAGTATATCATGACTGTAGCCTTGATGTTGTAAATAGCATGCCAAATTTGAGGAAGTACTATTCCAGTATTTAATAACTACCATCTTATTCAGCAAAAAGTCACTAATGTCACTGACCAGCAAATGAAGTTGCAATATATATCTTTGATGTTGCTCATTTCTTTAACCTAAAAAAAAAAAAAAAGTGACTGGAAGCAAGAAGAGAATAGAGTGAGATATTTAAAGAGTTGAGAGAAAGAAAAAAACCCACCAACCTAAAATTCTGAATCCTAAGAAATTATCCTTCAAACGTGAAGGAGGAACAAAGACTTTCTTGGACAAACACAAGTTGAGGGAATGTGTTGCCAGTAGTTCTGCCTTGCAAGAAATATTCACAAAGGTTCTTTAGGGACAAAGAAAATAATATAGGTCAGAAACTCAGATCTACATAAGGAAAGGAAGAGCATCAGACAAGGAATAAGTGAAGGTAAAATAAAAACTTATTTTTTTACTCTTAATTGATTTAATAGATAACACATTGTTCAAAATAATAATAATAACAACAATGTATTCAATTGTGTGTGCTTATGTATATTTCTTATGTATATATATGCTTCTGAATGCTTATATATAAATGAAATGAAGGACAATGATACAAGGGATAGGAGAGAGGAATTAGGATTATTTTGTTATATAAGGTACTCACACTACACATGAAGCAGTATAGTGTTATTTGAAAATGTGCTTGGATTAGTTGTAAATGTATACTGCAAAATCTAGAACAACCACAAAAAAAAGTTTAAAAAAATAGTATACCATACATACTAAGAAAGGAGAGAAAATAAAATGCTCAATTAAACCACAAAAGGCAGAAAAAGAGTGTAAGGCAATAATAACAACAAAGAACAAGAAAAACAAATAGAAAACAGTAACAAATATGGTAAATAATATTCTAACGATATCAAGAAACAATTTGAATGCCAATGATCTAAATGAACCAATGAAAAGACAGAGATTGTCAGAATGGATAAAAAAAAAAACGAGACCCTTTTGGCTCCTGGTGGACAACAGGGACCATTAGGGAGGTGGATAGGGGCAAGAGGTGGCAGGATTGGCAGGTCCAGAATCCTGCCCCTTCTGTTTCTCAGGCCTGATCTTCCTGTAGCTGGGCTGCCCACTAAGCCAGCACTGACATGTCCTTGCAAGTTGGCCAGAGGCACTGACTCTTGAGACATCATGGTGGTGTACTGGTGACAGACTGGACTCAGCTACATCTGATACTCCCAGATTTGTGCAAAAGCAGTGAGAGATGCACTGATGATAGAATTCAAAACAAATGCCCAGAAGACTTCCAGCAGCAGCAAAAAAATTGTGAAAGTGAAAAAGGAATAATCTACTCTGACTGAAGCTTGAAACGCTGCATTTTCCAGGTGATGATGTGTGGGCACATGTTAGGGCAGATTGAAAAAGATCTCCCTTCATGGGAAAAAAAATACCTGTCTTGTTCACAGCCTGACAATGCCAATAAATTGAAGTATGATTCAAAAAAACAAAGCAAAACAAAAACAAAACCCACTTTAGTATAAAGACATATAAAGATTAAAAGTAAATGGGTAGAGAAAGAGAAAACATGCTAACACTAATCAAAGAAAGCATAAGTTGCTATATTAATCTCAGACAGCGTAGACCTCAAAGAAATGAATGTTGTTATCAGAAATATAAGGGTATTATATAATGACAAAGTGGTCAATTCTCCAAGAAGACATAACAATCCTTAACGTATATGTGCCTAACAACAGAGCTTCAAATACATAAGGCAAAGACTGATAGAACTGCAATGAGAAATAGATGAATCCACTATCATCACTGGAGATGTCAACACCCCTCTACCAGAAACGGACAGATCCAATAAGCAGAAAATCAGTAAGTACATCATTGAATTCAACACCACCACCAATCAGCTGACACCTATAGACTACTTCACCTAATAACAGCAGAATATACATTCTTCTCAAGCTCACATGGAACATTCACCGAAATAGTCCACCTTCTGGGCCATAAAACACATCTTAACAAATTTAGAAGAATAGAAATCATACATTGTCTGCTCTCAAATCACAGAGGGATTAAACTAGAAATCTGTAACAAAAAAACAACTGGAAAATCTGAAAATATGTGGAGATTAAATAATACACTTCTAAATAATACATGGGTCAAAGAAGAAATCTCAAGAGAATATTTTAAGTATTTTGAACAAAATGAAAATGAAAACAAAACTTATCAAAATTTGTGGGATTCAGCCATACACACAAAAAAAGTGGTGCTTAGAGGAAAACTGATAGCAATGAATGCATACAATAGAAAATAAAAAAGACCTAAAATCAGTAATATAAGCTTTCACTTTAGGAAACTAGAAAAAGAAGAGCAAATTAAGTCCAGAGTAAGCAGAAGAAAAGAAATAATAAAAACTAGAGTAGAAAGCAATGATATTAAAAACAGGGAATTAATAGAGAAAATCAATGAAAGCAAAAGCTGGTTCTTTGCTAAGATCAACAAAATTGGTAAACCTCTAGCCAAGCTAAATAAATTTAAAAAAAAAGAGGACACAGATTACTAATATCAGAAATGTAAGAGGGGACATCACTACCAAACCCATGGACATAAAAAGGACAACAAAGGAATATTATGAACAACTTCATGCCTATGAATTTGATAACATCGATGAAATGGACTAATCCTTGAAAGACATAATTGGCCAGAACTCACAGATGAAATAGACAATCTAAATAGGTTTATTTCTATTAACAAATTGAATCAACAATTAAATAACCTTCCAAATCAGAAAGCATACTCACTCACTCACTCATTCTATACTGTCTTTCTAACTCATTCTATTCAATATTCTAACTCATTCTAATATCAAAATCAGACCAAAACATCACAAGAAAAAGAAGGCCACAGGCCGGTATCTCTCATGAACATAGGTACACAAATCCTTAACAAAATATTACCCAATCAAATCCAACGATGTATAAAAAGTGGGATGTTTTCAACCAAGTGGAATTTGTCCCGGGCATGCAAGGCTGGTTCAACATTCAAAAATCAATCTATCCTATCAACAAGATAAAGAAGGAGAATCACAAGATCATATTAACAGGTGTGAAAAAAATTAACAAAATTGATAATAAGAGCTTTTGGCCAACCAGAAATAAAGACTTTCTTGACCTGATAAAGAATATTTACAAAGACTTACAGTAAAGCCACATCAAGTTTGTTATTATAGTTGATATAGTTGATATACAGGAAACCAAGATAGGACCTGAGGGGCAAGGTGACCACCATGAAGTTTGTAGTTACTGTTATCTAGTATACCAAGCTGTTTCCATCAGCTGTAAAGAGCAGATGTGGACAGACCCACAACCAAAGATATACAAGTGATAAAGCCTCATATTTATAAGTCCATTTTCAAAA